CCACCTCTCTGGGCAACCTGTTCCAATGCTCTGTCACCCTCACAGTCAAGAAGTTTTTTCTCAGGTTCAGATGGAACTTCCTGTGGTTCAGTTTCTGCCCGTTGCCTCTTGTCCTGTTGCTGGGCACCACGGAGAAGAGGCTGGGCTCATCCTCTTGACACTCCCCCTTCAGATACTTGTACACGTTGATGAGATCCCCTCTCAATCTTCTCTTCTCCAGGCTGAACAGGCCCAGCTCTTGCAGTCTTTCTTCCTAGGAGAGGTGCTCCAGCCCTCTAATCATCTTGGTAGCCTTCCGCTGGACTCTCTCCAGTAGTGCCATGTCTCTCTTGTACTGGGGAGCCCAGAACTCAGTTCAGTTTGCATTTTGCACCAGAACACTCATCTGTCCTAAACCCCAGCCATAAAACCTCTTGATCATATCTCGCCTGCTTTTGTGTGGCTGCGAGGTCATTTTTGCTCCTCACTGGACATCCACCAGATCTGAGACTTCAGGGATCACTATACTCCTGTTGTCACTTGGGTCTTTTCCTTTTCCTTCTAGATGCCCCATCACACCCAGTCCTCCAGCCTTGCTCATCCCGTAGCTTACATCAAAGGCTCAGGGCTCTGGTTCTTCTTCTGGTTCTAGGAATCTGCATACAAGTGTCTCAGAATAGGGGAAAATGGGAACTTGGACCCAGTTCTCCTGGCTGCTTTCACCATTTCAGGAAAGGGCTAGAGTCTGAGGATCAGGATGGTGTCAGCTACCTGGAAATATTTCTTTATTTTGTGTAATAAAATGTGAAAAATTTAGAGGAAGTCTTAATAACAGTCAACACTCGCATTTGCCAAAGCAGGAGCTGTACCATGGCACCCCTTGGCTGACTCATGCCCAATGGTTATTAAGGGAAGGTCACAATTATAAGCCTGGATTAGTAAGGGTTGTGCGTGGCTTCAACATGCAGCACCAACAGCTGCTCAGAATGCACCAAGACTGCAATGTCTTTAGAAGGGGTTTCAAACTTCCCAGGAGGATATAACACATAAATTCAACAGGAGCATAAGAACAGGAGGGAGATGGGAGCATAATTCGCTTCCAGAGCAGCTCTATGTCCAAATTATGAAAATAGCACTAATGGAAACACCTTTGCCCGGAGCCACTTGGCTATGCCAGGTTATTACAGTTCATAATGTTTCTGTGATTGTTGGTGCTGGGAATCTCTTTGCTGCTGGCCTGCTTGTTTACAAAGAGGAGGCACAAAGTCCTGTTTCCTTGGGCTCACTCAGCCTCGATACAAATGAAAACAGCCACCTTTCCTGACAGCTCTACTTTTTATGTCCTTCTACTAACTTGCAGCCTAATTTTCACCCACTTATTCTTGTACCACTATTTCACCTTTGTTTAGTAGGCACCTTTTCTCTTTTGGTATTCAGCCCTGGTTCTGCTTACTCTGAGCATGACTCTGATGTTTGAGGGGTTTTTTGTTCTTACTATAGGCAGCAATCTTATCCACTCGCAGCTCGAGTTTCCCCAGGCTGAACAGTTCAAGCTCAGCCTGAGACTTTTCTGATCATGCTAGGTCCTCCTCTCTGCACATTCCAATTTCATTTCTTATTTTTGCACAGAGATGGCCAGAGCTGTTCACCCTGTTCCTGATGGGGTCACATCCAGGCCTTGTTCAGTACAAAGTCCCATCTTCAAGGCACCAATAGCGCAGTGCTCACCTCAGCCTTAAAATTTCCATTTAGAACAAGAAGTGTTAATTTGACAACTCCTTGCAAATTCATTTTTCCAATTGCATGCTGTTCTGGTTTGGGGTCCTCTCCTTGCAAAACTTCAACATGCCACGACAACTTGCACTCTACAAGACATGAGAGAGAAAAGGCA